AGACTGAACACACTTCAGACATTTGGTTTGATGTAAGCTTAGGCTGTTTTGGATGTGTATACCAATGCTGTCCTTGAATGAAGACAGTCACACTTGGGAGACATGGTGAAAGGATGCATTATCCCAGGTTTTCCATACTTTTCCAGCTGGTTCCTGAGTGTTCATGTATTCAAGTACAATGGCTCTTTGCCAGTGTAGATTGGCACTTCTCCCCACAATGGTTCATTTTATTTCCTCGTTGGTTGATAGAGCCAAGATTTCAAAGTATTCTCTTTTGAAATGGTTATAAAATTTAATTTGTGATAAATTATATTTTGAGTTTTTCAAACATTGTCCATAGCCAGGAATTCTTTTGAAAACAAGTTGTTTTCATGTTTGTGATTTGTAGATTACTATTTGCAAGTTAGCTACCATAATGCTTTTACTTAGAAATTGTCACCAACTAGTTATTAAGCATCTATTATCATTCATGTGGAATTAACTTCCACTTAAAATGTTCCAGTTAAACAAAACTTCATTATAAACCCTTTAATTGATTCCCTGTCTCTGCACATAAAGTAGATTCATTCAGGGCTGTGAGTCACTAACATGAATCTTAATAGATTGCTAAACCCAAAATCTGAGATACACAGATAGTTAATGCATACTTGGACTCATGGTGAGTCAGTATTGAAATGTTTTTAGTGCAATCCTAGTATAAATTCTCTGGGATGACTGTTTGGAAAGTGTCTTTTTGAAAAATTAATGTCTTATTGCTTAATTTTACTTCTGTTACTTTGCTTCCTGCCTATCCCTGGAGTACTGAATTCCACATATTTTTCAGTTGTTTTATGAATTTTACTGTGCTGGATATAATTTTTCAGCAAATGTTAACATAAAATACCTTAGAAATCTTCTAATTTGATATTCTCCAATTCACAAATGAAAATGTGGAAAGAAACTGATTCCTGAGGTTCCTGAATCACATTCCAAAAATCTCTTGGCTCCTAGTCCAGTACTTGTTATGGCTCAGTTTCATGAAATTTAAGGTTAAGAATAGCTCTTTTTAGATAATTTTAGTTCATCTTGGATTTTGTTTTTGCTTAGAAAAAAATTAGTATTTTAATATTAAAATGGGTTCCATTTTTATATGGATTTCATTTTTAATTAGGAAGTTAAAACTTGATTCTGGTCTATTTGTATTTGTTTTTGCTTTTATAAAACCTTTATAGAGGGCTGGGAAGGTGGCTCAGTGGTAGAGCACTTGCCTCGCATGCATGAGGACCTGGGTTTGATTCCTCAGCAACCACAGAAAAAAGCCAGAAAAAGTCAGAAGTGGTGCTATGGCTCAAGTGGTAGAGTGCTAGCCTTGAGCTGAAGAGCTGAGGGACAGCGCGTAGGCCCAGAGTTCAAGCCCCACAATCGACAAAAAAAAAAAAAAAGGTTTATAGAGCCAAGCACTGGTAGCTCACACCTGCAAACCCTAGTTACTCAGAGGGCTGAGATCTGAGGACTGTGGTTCAAAGCCAGCTGGGACAGGAAAGTCCATGAGAGTCTCATCTCCAGTTAACCACCACAAAACCAGAAGTGGGCGCCGTGGCTCAAAGTGGTAGAGCACAAGCCTTGAGCACAAAAGCTCAGGTACAGTGCCCAGTGAGTTCAAGCCCCATGATGGACAAAAACAAAACAAAGAAAAAATAACCTTTATAGAGCTGGGTACTGGGGCTCATGCCTGTAATCCTAACTACTCAAGAGGCTGAGATCCACAGATAATGGTTTGAAGCCAGCCCAGGCAGGAAAGTCCATGAGACTCTTAACTCCACTTAACCTGGAAGAAGAGTATTGACTCAGATGGTAGAGCACTAACCTTGAGCAAAAAGCATAGGGACAGCACCCAGACCTTGAGTTCAAGCCTAAGGACAGGCACACACACACACAAATAAAATAAAAAGAACAACCTTTAGAACAGTAGTACATTAAAAAAAATTTTTTTTTTATTAGTCATGGGGCTTGAACTTAGGGCTTGGGCACTGTCTTGGAGCTCTTTTGCTCAAGGCTACTGCTCTACCACTTTGAGCCACAGTAGATTTCCAGTTTTTATTTGTTTGTTTTGTTTTGTTTTCTAGTCCTAGGGCTTGAACTCAGGCCTGGGCACTATTTCTGAGCTGCTTTTGCTCAAGGCTAACACTCTACCATTTGAGCTACAGTGCTACTTCCAGCTTTTTCTGCTTGTGTGTGGTACTGAGGAATCAAACCCAGGGCTTCATTCATACTAGGCAAGCACTCTACCACTAAGCCACATTTCCAATCCTCATGGATTACTTTAAATAATAATAAAAACAAACAAACCTGGTATTTTTTTTGGGGGGGGTCATGGGGCTTGAACTCTGGGCCTGGGTGTTGTCCCTCAGCTCTTCAGCTCAAGGCTAGCGCTCTACCACTTCAGCCACAGCACCACTTCCAGTTTTCTGGTGATTTATTGGAGATAAGAGTCTCATGAGCAGCCGGGCGCTGGTGGCTCACGCCTGTAATCCTAGTTACTCAGGAGGCTGAGATCTGAGGATCGCGGTTCAAAGCCAGCCCGGGCAGGAGAGACCGTGAGACTCCTATCTCCAATAAACCACCAGAAAACTGGAAGTGGCACTGTAGCTCAAGTGGTAGAGCGCTGGCCTTGAGCTAAAGAGCTGAGGGACAACGCCCAGGCCCAGAGTTCAAACCCCACGACCAAAAAAAAAAAAAGAGTCTCATGAGCTTTCCTGCCTGGGCTGGCTTTGAACTGCGATCCTCAAATCAGCCTCCTGAGTAGCTAGGATTACAGGCGTGAGCCATTGAAACCCGGTTTACCAACTTGGTATCTTATTGATGACTTTTAGCCATACCTTTTTAAAGTTGGGCAGAACCTGATAATGAAATAATTTATACTGCAATTTGCTTTTTTTTTTTTTTTTTTAAAAATCACAGTACCGATGCAGGTGTTTTCTTTCTCTGGCTTTGTGAGCAGCTGAATCTGTAAGCCACCTCCAGGGAAGAAGGGTGGCTCAGTGACTAAGCCAGCTGTTGGGTGTTTAGTTAAACAGCTTGCTCCTAAACAGCTTGCTCCTATTTGACTGCTCAGATGCTAGTGAGAGGTACTGGCTGCTCCAGGGAATCGGGCACACAGGGTGAAGAGTGTGCAAAGCTTTGTGGTGACCTGGTTTAAATCTACTGGAATTTCCCTGTTTTGACCTCTCTCCCTCTCCCTCCCTCTCTCTTCTTCTCCCTCCCTCTCCTTCCTCCCTCTCTCTTCCTCTCTCCTCCTCTCCCCCCTTCCCTCTACTCCCCTTTCTCCTCTCTCTCTTATTCTCTCTCCTCTCTCTCTCCCCCCTCTCCTCTCTTCTCTCTCCTCTCTCCTCTCTTCTCTTTCTTCTGTCTTTCTCTCCTCTAGCTCCTGGAGCCGGGCTGAGCTCTTTTGCTCAAGGCTAGCGCTCTATCACTTAGAGCCACAGCTCCACTTCCAATTCTGGTTGTTAATTGGAGATCAGAGTCTCAGGGACTTTTCTGCCTGGAGTGGCTTTGAACTGTGATCCTCAGATCTGAGCCTCCTGAGTAGCTAGGGTTACAAACATGAGCAACTAGTGCCCAGTTTGACTTTTCTTTTTGATGATCCTAGGGTTTGAACTCAAGGACTTGTGTTTGCTAGAGGTGTTTGAGCCATGCCCCTATCCCATTTTGCCTTAGCTATTTTGGGAGTAGCACTTTGAGTTTTTATGTGTTTATGCCCAGAACTGTACTGGACTGCAATCCTCCTGTTTTCATTGTAGCTATGTTAATAGGCACACACTGTTGTTCAGTTACTGGTTGAGATGGGGTCTTAACTTTTTTGCCTGGGCTGACTCAAACATGATCCTCTATCTTCTGAAGGCAGTGGGTTTACCAGGTGTGAGCAACCACTTCCATCTGCTTTAGCTTCTTGCTATATGTGACCAGAATTCATCAACTTTGGGTTTTCCTAAATTCATTCCCTGTAAAAATTTCTTTAGGAGAGGATACAAGATTTATTAGTGAGATTAAAGGGAGGGACAGCACAGTTCAAGCCTTTCATTATTGCAGGATTTGATACTTATCCCCAGGGTATCATGATTAGGAATATATTTGACCCTATGGCCATCTAGGATGCGCCATTCACTTCTGAGCTACCTTGTCTATAAATTCATCCACATAAATTTGATAAAGCCCCACTTCTTTAAAATACGAGTCTTCTTGTGGTCAGGAAACTTGAAATTGTATGTGTGTTGTGCCTAATCACATACTCTTATTCTGCAGCTTGGTACAGCTGGACATGATGACCTGGCCTTTGTTTCTGGACTTCACAAAGGCACCTTCAGACTTTTCTCATGTCTAAATTGCTTAAGATTAAAGATAAAAATATTCACTGGAAAGCTCTGTCTTCAAGGTCCTCTAGGTCAACCATACAAACAACAGACTAGGTATACTACTAAGGAGGCTATTTGCTATTTGCGGCCATTGCATATCAGCTTCTATGTGCAAAGGAACCTGGTGGGCTTATTTGGCTGCAGACCCTATCAGAGTTTTTTGGACTACAATGCCTTAAGAATCTTTAGGCTAGGGGCTGGGAAGGTGGTTCAGTGGTAGAGCACTTGCCTTGCATGCCTGAGGCCCTGGGTTCGATTCCTCAGCACCACATAAGCAAAAAGAAAAAAGCCGGAAGTGGCACTGTGGCTCAAGTCGTAGAACGCTAGCCTTGAGCTGAAGAGCTGAGGGACAGTGCCCAGACCCAGAGTTCAGGCCCCATGACTGGACCCAAAAAAAAAAAAAAAAAGAATCTTTAGGCCATTCTTACACACTATTTTTCCTACTGTTTATATTGGGAGGAGAAAACAGTGGTGTTCAAAGTCATGCCTATCTCCATCTCATTTTTGCATGGTTGCTGTGATTCATAAAAAACTTTTCTTCCTGAATGGCGTTTTAGTGACTTGTTGTTTTCTGTGGGAAATTTATGACCTATTCTTTTCTTTTTCTTTCCAGAGAAAAAGTTGCAAGCAAAACATCATTTTTCTAAGAAAATTTGGGTAACAGAAATTCTGGATAACAGGTAAAGTGAATTTAAACTTCTTTGATGATGACAAGACATTTACAATCTATGCACATGAACTGGGAGAGGGAAGGGAAAAGTTAGAAGGCTAATTGTACTTGGTTCAGTGGTTTCACAATTTACACATATTTGACTTAGGTGGTTTTAATCTTGATTCTGGAGTAGGTCTAGGAATCTTAGAATTAAACTATCTTTTTTTTTTTTTTTTTTCGGTCGTGGGGCTTGAACTCTGGGCCTGGGCGCTGTCCCTCAGCTCTTCAGCTCAAGGCAAGCGCTCTACCACTTGAGCTACAGCGCCACTTCCGGTTTTCTGGTGGTTTATTGGAGATAGGAGTCTCACGGTCTCTCCTGCCCGGGCTGGCTTTGAACCGCGATCCTCAGATCGATCTCAGCCTCCTGAGTAGCTAGGATTACAGGCGTGAGCCACCAGCGCCCGGCGAATTAAACTATCTTTTAAAATGTTGCTTTTAGAACCAGGCACTGGTTGTTGGAGAGGGATGGTGCAGGCCTGTAATCCCAGCACTTGGAAATCTGAGGCAGGAGGCTTGAGGGCTTGAGGGCATGATTCAAGCAGTAGAGCACCTGTCTAGCAGGTATGAAGTACTAAGTTCAAACCCAGTACCATCTAAAGAAATGAATAAAATAAAATTTTGTTTTAAAATAAATTTGTCTCTTGATTAGACTTAATGTCCTCACAATACAGCTTTGCAAACACTTTTTGACATCTCCAATAAGCAAATACAGATGGGATTATAATGTTTACTATAAGAACATTCACCAGAACCTGTTGCTGTGCAGCCTAACTTGGGAGTCTCTTCCTAGTTTCTGTCTTTTAGTCTTGATCACTGCTAGTTGTTTCTGTGCTGTGCTGTACCATCTCAATCCCTTTTTTTTTTTTTTTGGTCCGGTCCTGGGGCCTGAACTCTGGGCCTGAGCACTGTCCCTCAGCTCTTCAGCTCCAGGCTAGCGCTTTACCACTTGAGCCACAGAGCCACGTCCGGCTTTTTTTTTTTTTTTGCTTATGTGGTGCTGGGGAACTGAACCCAGGGCCTCAGGCATGCAAGGCAAGCACTCTACCACTGAGACACCTTCCCAGCCCCCCTTTTTTTTTTCTTTGGATCAAGGCTAGCACTCTACTACTTGAACCGCAGTGCCACTTCCAGCTTTTTCTGTTTATGTGGTACTGAGGAGTCAATCCCAGGGCTTTGTGCATGCTAAGCAAGCACTCTATCACGAAGCCACATTCCCAGCCCCTCCTTAATTCCTTTTAACACTTTGTCAGCTGTTCCAAAATACATGCTTCCTAATAAGCTACTTCACAGTGAAATCTAGTCCAAGAATCCTCTTTATGATTTTAATGATGGTCTACATATGGCTGTACTTGTATGTTTTTATCTATATCTCACAAAGTTCTGTAGGTCTTATGAAATACTAATATATGTAAAAGGCCTAGTGTACTATATCTGAGAAGTTATCTCTGTGAGACCTATAATTTACGCTTATTTATTTATGCTCTTGTTTGGCGTTTTTGCTTAAAGCTAAAACTGACATACCTCCACTTCTGGCTTTTTGCTGGTTGATTGGAGATAAAAGTCTCATGAACTTTTTTGCCTGGCTTTGAACTGTAATTCTCAGAGCTCAGCCTCTGAGTAACTAGGAGTATGGAGTATAGGTGTAAGCCACTGATGTCAGCTAAAATGCTTATGTGAAGATTTTTAATGCTAGCTCACATGGGTCAGAAGCATAGCTTGGACTTGGAACTTTTTTCTTCTTTTTTGTCAGTTGTGGGGCTTGAACTATGGGCCTGGGTGCTATCCCTCAGCTCTTCAGCTCAAGGCAAGAGCTCTACCACTTGAACCACAGCACCACTTCTGGTTTTCTGAGTGGTTTCTTGGAGATAAGAGTCTCATGGAGCTGGGTGGTGCCCATGGCTCCTGCCTGTAATCCTAGCTACTCAGGAGGCTGAGATCTGAGGATCATGGTTCAAAGCCAGACCGGGCAGGAAAGTCTGTGAGACTCTAATCTCCAATAAACCACTAGAAAACCGGAAGTGGCGCTGTGACTCAAGTGGTAGAGCACTAGCCTTGAGCTGAAGAGCGCAGGGACAGCACCCAAGCCCAGACTTCAAGCCCCACAACAGACAAAAAAAAAAAAGTCTCATGGAATTTCTTCTTGGGCTGGCTTTGAACCACAATCTTTAGATCTCAGCCTCCTGAGTAACTAGGATTACAGGTGTGAGCCATCTACACCCTGCAATTTTTTTTTGGTGGCACTTGAACTCGGGGCATCAAGCTTGTCGGGCAAGTACTCTACAACTTGAACGATACCCCAGCCCACCATTTATTTTTAAACCAGATCTTTTTTAGGATTTTGTAAGTCCAAATAAGTATTTGTAGATTAAGGTGAATTGTCCTACTTAAGGGTAGTAAGACAGGTATTGAACATGTATTTGCCAGAAGCTGGTGACTCACATCTGTAATCCTAGCTAGTCAAGAGGCTGAGATTTGAGAATTAAGGTTCAAAGCCAGCCCAGATTTTTTAAAAAAAAGTCATTGAGGGGCTGGGAAGGTGGCTCAGTGGTAAAGTGCTTGCCTTGCATGCATGACACCCTGGGTTCAATTCCTCAGCACCACATAAGCAGAAAAAGCAGGAAGTGGCGCTGTGGTTCAAGTGGTAGAGTGCTAGCTTTGAGCTGAACAGCTGAGGGACAGTACCCAGGCCCAGAGTCCAAGCCCCACAACCGACCAAAAAAAAAAAAGTCATTGACACATTCATCTCCAGTTAAGCTGGAAGTAGAATGAATGAAAAAGCCAAGTGAAAACAAGATCCTGAGTTGAAGACCCAGTAGTGCCTGGTGCCAGTGGCTCACACCTGTAATCCTAGATACTCAGGAGGCTGAGATCTGAGGATCGTGGTTCAAAGCCAGCTCAGGCAGGAAGCCCCTGAGACCCTTATCTCCAATAAATCACCAGAAAACTGGAAGTGGTGCTGTGGCCCAAGTGGTAGAGTGCTAGCCTTGAGCTGAAGAGCTGAGGGACAGTGCCCAGGCCCAGAGTTCAAGCCCCATTACCGACAAAAAAAAAAAAAAAGACCCAGTACTGCTCGGCTCTCTAAATTATTTCACTTTGTTTTTGAAATTAAATTTCAAGTATGCAAAGGAGTAGTTCCTAGAAATCTCATGATTTAAAATGTATATTGTTGAGGTTTTAGTATTTGTTGGGGCTAACTCAGCCCACCATGTGCAAAGCCCTGTGCCTAATTCCAAGCACACACTTTCCACCCTTTCCAAAATAAATTAATATTTGTTGACTTTTCCCTTGGTACTTTCCCACTTTTATCAGGGCAACTCAATTGGAGCACCATGAGTTGGAGCTTCCTGACTCGCCTGCTAGAGGAGATCCACAACCATTCTACGTTTGTAGGGAAGATCTGGCTCACTGTGTTGATTGTTTTCCGGATTGTCCTAACAGCTGTAGGAGGAGAATCCATCTACTATGATGAACAAAGCAAATTTGTGTGTAATACAGAACAGCCAGGCTGTGAGAATGTCTGCTATGATGCCTTTGCACCTCTCTCCCATGTGCGCTTCTGGGTGTTCCAGATCATCTTGGTGGCAACTCCCTCTGTGATGTACCTGGGCTATGCCATTCATAAGATTGCCAAAATGGAGCATGGTGAGGCAGACAAGAAGGCAGCTCGGAGCAAACCCTATGCAATGCGTTGGAAACAACATCGGGCTCTGGAAGAAACAGAAGAGGACCATGAAGAGGATCCCATGATGTATCCAGAAATGGAATTAGAAAGTGAAAAAGAAAATAAAGAGCAGAGCCAGCCAAAACCCAAGCATGATGGCCGACGACGGATTCGGGAGGATGGGCTCATGAAAATCTATGTGTTGCAGTTGCTGGCAAGGACTGTCTTTGAGGTGGGTTTCCTAATAGGACAATATTTCCTGTATGGCTTCCAAGTCCACCCATTTTATGTGTGCAGCAGATTTCCTTGCCCTCACAAGATAGACTGTTTTATTTCTAGACCCACTGAAAAGACAATCTTCCTTCTGATAATGTATGGTGTAACAGGCCTCTGCCTATTGCTTAATATTTGGGAGATGCTTCATTTAGGGTTTGGGACCATTCGAGACTCACTAAACAGTAAGAGGAGGGAACTTGAAGATCCCGGTGCTTATAATTATCCTTTCACATGGAATACCCCATCTGCTCCCCCTGGCTATAACATTGCTGTCAAACCAGATCAAATCCAGTACACTGAATTGTCCAATGCTAAGATTGCCTACAAGCAAAACAAAGCCAACATTGCCCAGGAACAGCAGTATGGCAGCCATGAGGAGCACCTCCCAGCTGATCTGGAGACGCTGCAACGGGAGATCAGAATGGCTCAGGAACGCTTGGATCTAGCAATTCAGGCCTATCATCACCAAAACAACCCTCATGGCCCTCGGGAAAAAAAGGCCAAAGTGGGGTCCAAAGCTGGGTCTAACAAAAGTAGTGGTAGTAGTAAATCGGGGGATGGGAAGACCTCCGTCTGGATTTAATCTTGGCTGGGCTTAAAACTTGGGCTTTTCATAGTTTATGGTAAGCAACGGCTCACTGAATAATGACTTCCATTGAGTAAACATTTGGCTCTGGTTATCTTCAGGGATGCTGTTGGCTCATGATCCAAACTCAGGGGACTCTGAAGGTGGGGCTGGGATGAGTAGGGAGAGGGAAACACAGTATTCCTGGGCACATGTTCTCAGCAATAATACAGTTGTAGAACTTTACATTCATGTCTTCCATATCCAGAGAAGAACAGATATATTTAAATCATTCTTGTTGAACAGTTTTTGTATGTACAGTATTATGGTACCTTTTTTTTAGTATGAGAACTTTTTTTTGTATCTGTATATTGGACTGCTGTAGTTTTTTATATTAAAAGTAAAAAAAATCCTTATAAGTAATGCCTGTTAGGCTAGTGTTTAATTACTTTGTTTAGCAAATTCTACCCTGGGTTTAGAGTTTTAATAGATGCTACACTGAACAAAAAGTGCCTCTCATATTGCAGGAAAGGTTACAAGTATGTAAGGATTTGCAAAGAAGAGATAGCAGTTTTCAGTCCACTTTATAAAGAGGTCGGGATCTTCCTTTCCTCTTTACCTGAGAAATCTTGGGATCTCATCCTGTGACTTGAGTTGTAGCCATTCTTTGACAAAATGTTTCTAAAGGAGGTAAAGGATTCACTGAATGATTCCTTTAAATACCAATATGGCCAGTGTGTACTTTATTAGTATATATGTAATTTAAGTTCTTTCAAAAGACTGATAGAAGGTGTCCCTAATCCGATAGCAGTGTGGAGTACCTGGCTAGAGTTGATGCTATATAAGCTTTTTTTCAGAAAGCAAAGCCACACCTGGAAAAAATGATCCCTAAATAGGATGTTTAGTTGTGAACCTGTTTGATTTGCCTTAAACCTCTATCCAAAAAACTGCCTCTTTCTGGTTTCTGAAGAAGCCAGTAATGGATATTTTCTATATTTGTTAATATTAGAAGTACAACCCCACCTCTTCTAAGAATACTCAAAGGTATTTGTACTTCGAATGGCAGTTCAGATTGTTTATTTTTATAATTTGCCATGGAACTTACAGTTTACTTCTGCCAATGTAAATTCCTGTCTGAATGGCCGTTCTGACTTTAGGATTCTGTCTGTAAATAGACATAGAGAAATTCAGTATTTATTCTCTGTTGGCATATGTATTTGTCAGTGATAAGTTCTAATGTTCATAAAACTAGTAATTTGCAGTGTTTTCAGTCTTATTATGTTGGAGGGCATTGTTCTGCTGCACTTTTATGGTTTGTCTGAAAGTGCTAAGCCTAGAGCACAAGCTTGTAAGGTAGAATAGAGAGGCTTTGCTCCACCAGGAAGCTTTTTCATTTGAGTCTTGCTCTTTTCCAACAGAAAGCTGCTGCAAGCCACCTCTGACTTAGAAATTCTGAAAATATCACATTTTATGTCTTAATTTTGAGATGCCAGTTCTCTACTATTTAGAGGGATACTAATTGTTTTCCTTTTTGTTTCTCCTTCCTTCCTTTTACCTTCCTCCACCAAAAAGTAGAAAACGTAACCTTCTAGCCATTCATTTGCTTATATTTCATCCCTTTTTATGTTTAAATTTTAGCTTAGCTGAAGAGACAGTTTCAGAAAATGGTATATATCTATGTATCATGGACAATTAATAGACATGCAACATTTCTTTCAAATGGTTAATAAGGAAACATATAATTCTAAGAAAACAGGCAAATTTTTAACCATCTCAGCCTAACTAGGAAAAGAACTCCCAGTTCTTAAGTTGCTAGAGCTTTCAGCAGATTTCTTAATTGAAGGACACAAAATTCATATACTGTACACTGCTGGCATCTCAGTGCCTGAAGGAGAACAGAGTAGCTTTGCCAGCAGAAAGGTTGGGAATTTGAGTGATAGAGGAGTCAAGCAGAAAGGCCAGGAAGATCCAGGCAGAGACATTCAGTGCCGGAAGCATCCACTTAGTTTACAGTTCCCTTGGTGGTTCTGTCTTGGTCAGAATGTTATCTTTTATATCTGACTAACTCATGGCAGCTTTTTGGGGGGTAAAGGGTAGGAGTAGGGGTGGGGAGGTGCAGGGCCTGGGTACCCTCCGTTAACATTTTTGCTCAAGGCTAGTGCCATAATACTTAAGCTGCAACTCCATTTCTGGCTTTTTTGATGGTTAATTGGAGATAAGAGTCTCATAGACTTTCCTTCCCCAGGCTGGCTTTGAACCACAATCCTCAGATCTCAAACTCCTGAGTAGCTAGGATTATAGGTGTTAGATACTGGCACTTGGTACCCTTCAGCTTCTTAAAGTTTGCAGAAAGACATTTAGAGTCACCTCCTCATATGCACACCCTTTAAATTTTCATTCTTCTGGTAAACTTTTAATTATAGTGAGAATTTCTACACTCACTTCCTTTATAGCACATTTCTTTCAGCCTTTGAACAGTTGTTTGTTTGCAAAGCCATTTTCCCTCATGATTTGTTATGGATCTCCATTAAGAAAACAATTTATTAGTGCCTACTATAACCCACTGATTGGTTCCACAATGAATCTATAAAAATACTATTCTGGTCTGTGCAGGTATTTGTCTCAAAGGCCTGTCAAGTTTGTTTTTCTATCCATAGTCTGTTTTAGATTGCCATGTAAGACACGCTATGTCATGACATTTAATTCTGCCCTAAGTGAGGTTTGAGTGCTCTGTCCTTCCTGTATTAAATCAGAATAGGAGCAGTAACATAGTTATGTTCTTTAACATGCTTTGGTATTTTTTTCAGCCATATGCTGACACTTTGTTGTTTGTTTTTAAACAACCTGTTTATTCAGAAGATATTTATAAAAGGAACAGAGTTCTTTTTCTTAGTTCAGATTTGAGGGGAGAATTACGTAGTATTTTCCCCTAAAGAAATGTTAATATCTATTTTGTCTTTGTTAATATCCTTTGTTTTTGCTTGACTTAGTTTCGCCTGTTTCTGTATTTAAAACCCCAAGTGTGGTCTGGAGGCATGGCTCAAATGGTATGGCACCTTTGTAGCAAGCATGAGGTCCTGAGTTCAAGACCCTAATACCACCAAGAGAAAAAACAAAAGGCAAGTGTGTTAATTCAGTTGAAATCCGTTTTTTTTCTGGTGATTTTTTTCCCTCACTGATACCCTATAGAACTATTTGCTAAAAATGAACATTGCCTTCTAAAGTGATTCTCACATGACTGGTAATGCTCTGTGTCTTTTAGGGGATTACCTGTATAAAGGGGAAAAAATCAAGATATTAAGTACCCTAATTGTCATTTCTTTGTGGTATGATACTGGGCAGATTACTTTTCTTCTATCCAAGTGCTAACCAGGCCTGATCTTGCTTAGCTTCTGGCATCAGACAAGATTTAGCTGGCATGTTCAGGATGGTGTTTTTGAGGACTACAGATAACAAAGTTTTAAAAACCATTTGCCTTTCAGAGTACTAACTAGTAGCCATAACCTCTGGTAAAAGGTGTTTTTTAAAAAACATTATTGCAACTGAGTGTGTGATTCCATGGTAGAGAACCTCCTAGCACACAGGAGGGTCCTGGGTTCAATCCCTAACACCACAGACAAAACAACACAATTATTAGCTCCAAAATAGTTACTGAAGCTGAGCACTGGTGGCTCACACCTATAATCCTAGCTACTCAGGAGGCTTAGATCTAAGGTTCAGGGTTCAAAGCCAAGCCTGAGCAGGAAAGTCCATGAAATTCTTACCTCCAATAATCAACTCAGAAAAAGTTGGAAGTGGCACTGTGGCTTAAGTGGTAGAGCACTAGCCTTGAACACAGGGATAGCACACAGCCCTGAATTCAAACACCCAGCCCAGAAGAAAAAAAAAATTACTGAACTGTGCTTTAATAGGAAGATGTGCTTTGGAATTCTTTTTGTCACTGGCCTTAGTGATGGTTTGAAATGCTTGCTCTAGCAGTTTATACCAAGAAAGGACTTAAAATGTCATTCCTATTATTCATACCAGTGATTTACCTATATAGCGTCTAGATGTCATACTTTATGTTTCTGTCTTTTAAGAAGCAGCCCACTTCTAAGAATAACATTTGTGGATGATGATAAATTTGGGGCCAGCCAGTGTTTTGTAAAAGGCAAGTATATCATACTTGAACCTATCTTAATGAATGCCTCCTTATAAAACAAAGATCTCATGCCTGGTACCGGTGGCTCTTGCTCATAATACTATCTATTCAGGAGACTAAGATCTGAGGATTGTAGTTTAAAGCCAGCCCAGGCAGGAAAGTCAGTGAGACTCTCTTTATCTCCAGTCAACTACCAAAAAAAGCCAGAAGTGAAGCTGTAGCTTAAGTGGTAGAGCAGTGCTAGCTCGAAGCAAAAAAAAAAAAAAAACCCGCAAGGACAGCACCCAGACACTGAACTCAAGCCCCAGGACCAGCAAAAACATAAAAACCAACTTTCCCAGCTATGAAAAAAAATAGCTGATGTAAACACATCAGATATGTAGCTGCTAGTCATTTTGATCAGAAGATTTTAGGTAATATTAGATTTTATCTTTAAAAATCATGTAATTTCTTAAAATCTAACCACTTCTAAATAATAAATCTTGCACCTGTACAGGGAAGTTTGGAAATAAAACTTCAACTCAACTTGTATGTCACAAGTCATTGTAATAGTTCAAACACCATCAAATGTTAGAATCAATAAATTGATTATATATTTGTCTCTCATTCTAGCCATACATCATGGAAAATTTTAAGATTTGATTTGCTCTTGTCCTAATGTAGGTCCATTGCTTTATTAATATTGCTTATAATAACAATACTAATTGGGTTTAGTTCATGCACATTCCACAATGAAACAATTCATGGTATTCTAAAATCTAGGGGTCCAGAAAAGAGCAAGTTCCATTCCAGTGTAAAATCTCTACAGGGATAAAAAGCAGAGTACTTCCTTTCAGGATGGCTTGTTGAATCAGGCTCCAAAAACTTGTTTATGCTTCGGAGACTGAGGAAAAAATGGAATTGTTCTCCCAATTATGTTTCTTTTAGTAAATCTCTTACAGAAGTCTACCTCAGGCACTGTTATGATTAGCATATTGATGCTGAAAAAACAGGACTTTCACCTTTTAAAATAATATAAATGTAAAATTCAACTGATAACCAGCAGTCTAATGTCATATGGTATGCAGTTTGGATGTTGCATGAACTGCTAAGGAATTAACTTGTTTTAGTCCCAAAGATCATTTGTTGCTGATTTTGTTCTGTACAGTTTATGTAAAACTTTCATGGTGGAGACAAGCTCTGTGCCTAGGGTCTGGTCTCTGGGAAGGTTTTGTTAGTTTCCAAATGTTTTGTTAGTTCCAAATACAATTTAGAATATTCACCTGTGGTCTGTG